CCGAAAGCGTTATGCCCCACAACAATAGCTCCGTTTTGCTTCCTCCCCATCTGCACCGCTCTAAGAACTGCCTCGTGGTTCTTGAGGTTGCAATCGATGAGCACGAAATCCGCCTCCTTGTAGTAATTTAAAAGAAGATTTTGAGCTTCTCCAATAACAAACTCAACGTGACAAACGTTGACGCCGAGGATTTTCTCAGACAAGTGTAATTCTTCGTTACCGCGAAGAATGCATACAACTCTGCTGCCAGTTTGTTGAGCGGCGGCAGCTAGGGCTAGGGTTTTGGAGTCGGCAGCTCCAGCGCATGCAACAACCATAAGCTGCGCATTGTTGCCTGCTGCTAGGGCTGAAATGAACTCGATCACATCTGGCTCGTTTCCCTTCTGGCCCTGAATTAAAACAAAACAAAAAACCAGACAGTTAGAAACAATCGAATTAAACAGAAAAATCAAACATGAATTAAACAAAATGGTACGATCGAAAAAAAAACCGTTAAGTGATTGGAGAAAAAAATTATAAAAGGATACTCACCATTTTTAGGGCTTTGAGGTAGGCTTTTGTGGCATTCTCAGCAGACCAGCAAGCCATGTTTGTTCTTTGAAAATGTAATTGTGAATAAATCTCTAGCTTTCTTTTTCTCTCGAATCTCAACGTTTAGCTTCAAGTTTGCTTTGGATAGAACATGGAAGGACTGGCATATATAGGGAACAGCGTGGAAGGACTGACACATATAGGGGGCACTGCCCGGAATGCTTTCTTATTACGGACAGTGGCAATCCAACTGGCCATGTTAGAAGATGTTTAAATCGAAATTTAACAAGTACCAACTAGGATAGTAGGATTATATATAAAATTGTTGTCCTTTTAGTACTAGTTTGTCTGGAAAAACTATGGGCTAAACCGTGTTAGTGTACGTGCATTATTTAGTGTTACACACTTTTTCTCCGATTAAAATGTAGCGGGGTGTATTCAATTGGGATTTTAAGAGATTTTAATTCTTTTAATGAATATAGGGGTATTCAATCAAGATTTTAAGTGATTTTCTGAAATTCTAGAGGTATTCAATTAGAATTTTAAGATAGGTTATTAAAATCCTTAGAAATCCAGGGTATTCAATTAAGATTTTAAAGAAGTTTATAACATTCCAGGTGTATTTAATTAGAAATTGATTTTAAAGAATTTGAGAAAGTTGAGGAATTAGAGGGAATTGGAGAGATTTCGTAGTGTATTTTAAGCATTCACAAATCTTATCTCTTTCCATGAGATTTCGAGGGAATTGAATCAAAATTTTATATGGAATTTCTACAAATCAATTAAACTCCATAAAAATCCATGGATTTATAAATCAATTAAAATCTCTCACATTCTCAATCGAATACACCCCCCCCGTAAATTAGTTACTGTTAAGCGTAAGTGCTTATAAATTCACTGTAAGGTATGACTCTCGCATTTTAGTATAATTTGAAAAAAATGAAATGTAGGAAATAAACTATCAAATTTTCCGCTTGCTTAATAAATTGAAAGAGAAAAAGGAAACTATTAACAAGATATGAATAGGATCTTAGGAATCGGATATTTATTAATCTTTCCGCTTGAAATATATAGAGCTTGCTTAGTTAATTATTAAATAATTAGATGGGTTTCCAGGAGGCAGCTCATTAACGTTCAAGTAAACATCTTAATACTTTTAGAGGAAGTATCTTAATATTTGATACCAAATATAAAATTAAACTTGCACGATGCCAATTATTTGTCTCCAAATAATCATTGATTTGCTGCGATGCCTTATATCTTAGAGACAACATAAGTTGAATATTACATATAATATATAGGAGGAGGAGAGCCCCATGTTATCCGAGGTAGAAAACCAACAAGTTTGGCAGTCCTCAATTTGCAAATTAGTCTTAAGTTTAATTTAACATTTTTTTAGCTATATCAACTTGTACACTACGCAAAATTGGGATCATTTCCGGCTCTTTGTGTATGGAACCGATGAATTCGGAGATCCGGACTACTTATTTTGATTATGAGATTTTCATTAGTTCATTCTATTGGCCCATCTCACACAAACCCGAGTTCTTGAGCTCCAGACATACAAATCTGAAGAGGATCTAGACTCCACTACACAAACACATGCAGTCTTGTTGTGTACGGGCTGTGCGTACGTACAAGCTAGATATATTATTGACCAAAGGTTTTCCAGTTTAACTTAATTGATTAATTTATGCATTTTTAATCGTTTTGCTATGGTATTAGAGGTGGTCTGAAAATATATTTTCTAACATATAAACAAATATGTGGTTAATTAATCATAAATATATAACGCAAGACAAGAGGTCTGGTCCTTGCCTCCAGAAATGACAACACAGATCTGGATCCGTTCAAGTTGTTTCCCAAACAAGCACATTCATAACAGAGCAACGCAATACATAAATTTTAATGTCTCGCGGTCCATCTCTTGCAGTGCAAGTCTGTAAGATGCTCCATCCTCTGCCCAGTTCTGGTAGAGTGATCAGACGACAGAGACGATGCATGAATGAATACGTTTGTGTGGTCGAACCAATTTGACCTAATTTTTTAATTGTTGTTGTCGTTTTTATCATTGGCTTTTTAGGAAAATGAAACTTCTAGGTGTATCGGGAACACTTGTTGCACAGTGCATTATTTTGTTTTATATACGTTTTATAATACGAATGAATGATATAGTTAATATGTTTTACTCTTATAGTATATTAATCCAAAACAAATATACACATATCATTTGAGTGAAATAATAACATAATATAACGGAATTTCAGTTATATGGCATAATTTCTGGCTAGAAGCTCGTGTAGGACATAATATGGAGCATGTGATGAGAAACTGGGAGTATTTATCAGACAGTGATGGGAAATGAGTATGATTCCCTCCCCTTTAAATTCTTTTCCCTTCCGTATTTTTCTCTCTCACTTTTTTTTTTTTTTTTCTCTTTCTATAAAAAAAGTCAACGCAAGATATTGAAGTAGCATAATCGTAACCGTTCAAATATGAGGAGAAAAAAAAAAATTAGGGCAAATTGAAAATGATAGAATCCTACTTTGATAAGCAATGGGGAAACATGGTGGAAACAAGGTGTGGGTCGAAGGTTTTTTTGGTTGGATTTTGTGCAATTTTGGAAGGGGACATTAAATGTGTGGTACCTTCAAAATTTTAGCATGTCTACTTCATTGTCTTTGACTCTTTGCTTCTCAATCTTAAAAGTTCGAAAAATGAAAAAGAAAAAAATTACAAGAATACGTTACGCGTATAATGTTTGGTCTAACACACACATTATACATGTACCGTGTTCTTGTAAATACATGTATTCCAACACTTCCTGCGGAGTATGAAGGGATCTTCTATATACACACATATTTGCAATGTTTTTCTCTTGTTAGTTCATGTACAAAGAGTATGCATGCATACGCATTTTGTGTCCATGTGTATGGCTTTTTATTGGAGAGACAGATCGATTCACAACACACCAGAACAAGTATCGGTTTTGAATTTAAAAATTTGTGGAATCATAATTATGATACCATGTTAGACAATAAATAGACTCTATCTAAAAACTTAAAATTATTAGAAAACGAACCAACAATGCATATCAAATTAACATGTATAATATGTCATGTGTGATTTATACATTATATGCACAGTGGCGCCGGCCTCCCCCTCACCGGCGCCGGCGTCAGAATCATTCTCTTCCTCCTTAAAACCCAGTCCCCGCAAGTTCATTTTTTTCTCTCTTCTCTGCCTCCATTTTTACGCTTAATGTCTTAATTTTTTTTTTTTGGGGGGTTAAATATCATATGCACAGCGGGTGGAGGGGAGAGGGTGGCTTGGTCGAATGCACCGTGGAGGTGCATGGTGATTTGAAGCCCTTATATAAATCATTGATTTTAACCATTACAGGTGATTCAGTGGTTAAAGACGAATTCCAAGCCCGTCTTCCACACGGCAGTCTTGGGATTGACTCTTGGCGCTGGTGGATGGTACGATGGTGGGCAGGCTACAGCTGAAATGACTTTGTGAGTCTTCTCGGCCACTGAAAATGTGAACTGTCATGGCGAAGTCACTAGCTGGTATGCTTTAAAGAACAAAAAAAAAAAAATTAAATCATTGATTTGTTTTCAAGATTTGAAGCCCACCAGAATTTCTTGTTAGATGATTGAAGCCCAAAATCCACTTACATGGGCTTAGAGCAAGTCTACCCCTAAGGACTTTATGCCAGCACCCAGCGCATTTATCCACTCAAGTGAATAGTAATAGATCTAAGTGAACAGTAATATACCAAATCATCTCCACCCCTAACAAAAAATAGCTAGTCCATTTTATTAAAATATTATTATTTTTATTATTAAAATATTATTATTTTTATTATAAAATAATAATTTTATTTTTAATTTCTGAATTTATAAAAAATAAAATAATAATAATAATAATAATAATATCTAAATTTATTAAAAAATTTATGTATTTTTTAAAAGTGAAATTCTTAATTTTTTGGGGGAAAAAACGTGAACCGTTGATCTGTGATCGGACGGTCCATTTTAAAAGTCAAATTTAATTTTTTTTTACCGTTGGAAATCCAACGACATACATTTCGCCACGTCGCCCACCCGGGGTTGGGGTGTGAGTGCGCCTGCTAGGCGGGCCCAACCTCTGAACGTCTGTCGGCTACTGGCCATAAAGGCCGCGTGAAAGGCACGTGCCAGCCCAATTGCCCGGTTCCTTGCTCAGTCAAATTTGGGCTGGCCTGGAGACCAACTTGGGCTGCGTCCCAGGCAAAAGGGTGGGCTGGAGTGGATTGACTGACTCCTAGCCTGATTTTTGTACTTTGTGCTGGGCTATTCCACTTCCGGTGGACTTGCTCTTAACTCTTAAGTCCAGCCCAATATACTGTTCTCTACGGATAAATACTCGCTTATCCAAAAGCCCAATCGTACAGAAGTCGGTCTCTCTTCCCGAACCGTATAAATAGTCCTCGGCGGTCATCGTCCGTCATCAAACCCCGTTCTTCCACAGTTCCCAAATTTCGCACCAAAAACCTACACAGTCCAGTCCAATCCATTCCAGATGGGCAATTCGTGCTGCTGCTTCTGTATCTGCATAGAGCAAGCGAGCATAGGCATCTTGGAGAGGTGGGGCCGTTTCGAGAGGCTCGCCGAACCCGGTTTCCACCTCCTGAACCCATTGGCCGGTCAATGGGTCGCCGGCATCCTCTCCACCAGGATCGCCTCCCTTGATGTCCGTATCGAGACCAAAACCAAGGTAATTCTTATCATCTATGTGAAATTCATACAGCAAAAGCAAGAATTTTGAGTAAATTGTAAATTTTTTGTTGGTGTTTGGATTGAAATTTTGTGCAATTTTGGGCAGGATAATGTGTTTGTGCAATTGGTGTGCTCAATTCAATACAGGGTGGTGAAAGAAAATGCTGATGATGCGTTTTATGAGCTGCAAAACCCCAAAGAGCAGATTCAAGCTTATGTCTTTGATGGTATTTCCTATATTGGTTAATTGGGTTTTTAATTTTTACGCGAATAATTGAATTGAATTGAATTTTGTAGTGGTTAGAGCTCTGGTTCCGAGAATGACACTGGACGAGCTCTTTGAGCAGAAGGGTGAGGTTGCTAAAGCCGTGTTGGAGGAGCTTGAGAAGGTAACATATGAAATGATGTGACGAAGTGTTTACTGTATTCGTGATCGTTTTGACGGTAGGATGCATGATTGTAACTATTTTATCGTCCCAGTGCTTTGAATTGAATGAGTTTGAGTTCAATTGGATTGTTGTGATTGCTTCTCACCTGTTTGTTTCGAGCAAAATTTTGTTGTTTATTGTTATGTTTCCTTCACTCTGAAGCTTGTAATACAAGAAATGTTTTGTTTTACACGATTTCTTACGTTGTATGCTGAAATTTCTGATCAGGTTATGAGAGAATATGGATACAGCATAGAGCACATGCTGATGGTTGACATTATACCTGATGCCTCTGTCCGCAAGGCAATGAATGAGATCAATGCAGGTACAATTTTCTTTGATTCGTTCCCTGATTTTAGTCTTACACCTGGACATTGTTTCTGCTTGTATTGCGGTCGGAAAACACATGTTTTGGGAGTTAGTATATTGTTGGACCGTGAGTCTCGGTTAGCCCCAGGTTTTGAGAACAAACATTTTGGAATGTTTATGTGCTATGGTTTACTCAGTTGCGTCTCTTCCGATTTTTGTACAGAAGTGTATGATACTAGTGACATTCTGACAAGATATTCTTATGACGTATCTGGCCTCATAATGTTTAGATTCTGCTGTTATGTTAAGCCGTAAATAAATTTGAGTTTGCTTCGTGAAAGTACTTTATATGTTGGAGCGAACAAACGTTGCTTTTCTTAACTTTGGAACATTTTCACCTAGATTCCTAGACTCGAGGTCATCTTAGAAGCTGAACTTATTTATCATATATTCCTGGTTATCTCGAAATGTTGAAGTTTGCAAACTGATCATTAGTTTGCAGTCTTTATATATGTTTATGGCTTGTAATATAAATGCTTATTCTTGTTTATTTACTAAATAATGGAGCATCTGTACTGCAGCTCAAAGGCTCCAGCTAGCCAATGTATACAAAGGAGAAGCAGAGAAGGTGCTTCAGGTGAAAAGGGCAGAAGCTGAAGCTGAGGCCAAGTACCTTGGCGGAGTTGGTGTTGCCAGGCAGAGGCAGGCAATCACCGATGGATTAAGAGAGAACATCTTGAATTTCTCAGGCAAGGTGGAAGGCACCTCCTCAAAGGAGGTGATGGACCTGATCATGATCACTCAGTACTTTGACACAATCAAAGACCTCGGAAACTCGTCCAAAAACACTACAGTTTTCATACCCCACGGTCCGGGACACGTTAGGGACATCGGTGATCAAATACGCAACGGACTAATGGAGGCATCTAGTGCTCAGCTAAACGCCGAGTGAATACGTCGTTTGGATAAATTCTTGATCACAATACTTTTTTTTTATCGAATTCGAGTTGACACGAGCAGGTTAGGGTTGTTACATAAGATATAGTTTATGCAATCCGATTCGTTTAATTTTGTTTGCATTTCTTTTGGAATGAAGAACATGGTATGTACTTGCACCATGTCGACTCTGTGTATATAAAGAAACAGTAATGCAGCCCAATATACATAGGTCTGAATAAAGTTATTATTTTGAATGAATGTTATTAGGGATTGTTATTTGTTGAGTCCTGATCCTCTCCGGATCCTCTTTGTGAGGATCCGGAGATCCGTGAATCGTGTTCGTTTATTGTACATTGAGCAGTTATAAATCATTTTAAATATTTTTATTTAAAAATAAACATAAACAGTACTTGATAGAAACTGATCGCACTATTTACAATGAACGAATACGATTCATGGATCCTCAAGATCCTTACCAAAAGGATCCGGAGAGGATCCTAATGGTTATGTGTTCTTAATTATTGAGTTCGACCACGTTTTATTTTGTGTCAAGAGTTAACAAAGTGGGCTCTGTCATGGGCCCACGGGAACATGGTCCGTTGTAGTCTGGACTAGCTCATTTGATTCGGTTGGGTCTCAAGTTGCATCCGAAGGCCCAAATCCAATTTTTGTTATGAATTGTTTTTATGAAGATGTAGGGTAAATTATTTGGAGTGATTCTCAAATGTCACGTTACGGTGTTATGAATCTACGTGTTATTATATGTTGCACAACAATATTGATATATTATGAGCAATATCGTAATGAAAATACGTGTAATAAAATTGATCGATTGGTAGCATTACTCAACAGTGTGATAGATTTGTTGAAACTTTCGTGAATTTTTATTTTATTTTAAAAAAGGTTCAAAATTATTACAAAAATTAAAAAGAATAGGTAATTTCGAACCTGGGAAGTATGGGTAAAAAAAGTCATCTTACCTAGTAGGATATTTGACCACATGCAGGATCACGGAGGTTATGCTTGGCAATTGGTAATTGGTATGGAATGTAATGATATATAGCACAAAATTCAAAGATGGATTTGTGTAGAACAAATGAGTGGCATACTAGCATTACAAATACGACGGCCCTATTCTATCTTGTAGACCTTACTCGACCTAAAACATTATATTTTGGCTCCACACAGATGTTGTGTCGTAGGGCAGGCAATAAGCAAAGAAAAAGTTAACCTAAAGTTTAATACTTAATCAACCTACTAATTATAAAAAGTGTTACCGTTAAACGTGGACCAATTAGTAAAAAACATAAAGTAAAATAATACGTTTTAGGTGGCCAACTTTGCATCGTACAAAAATGTAATCATAAAAATGAAGGGAATATTTAGAGGAGGATTTTTGGTAATGATAATGTATGATGACCATTAGGGTGAGATTAGATAATTGGAGATTTTGATTTGATGGGAGTGCACTTAATTTGTTTTCTTCGTTTCTGGTATTTACTTAATGACAAGAAATTATAATGACACAGGTGAGGTCTGGTAGGATGGATTTTTCAAACTTTTAAGGCTCAACATGTCGAGCAATTATACAGTATGCTCGGAATGCGGTCACGTGACGTTATTATTTTTTTCAAGTTATAATATGTAAATTTAATTAATACTTAAAATGAGAGATATCAATTATGTCCAAATTTATTGTAACATGTAAAATAATACAATCCGTAACTTGTGTTCTTGATAATTATAACCCTTTCTCAAAAGAAACGACAATCTTAGTTATCTTACCCTTATATTTAGGGTGGTGTTATCCACCACCTCTTTTTAATTTATATCATTTGATCATCTTTAATTCATTCGATCCGATGATCAAATAACATTTTTTTTATTTGATGTTGTTAAATTCAAATTTGTGGTTAGATTTTGGGTTTTCGAACAAGAAAAAAAACAAGTTTTCACTTAAAAGAAATAATCTCTTTCCAATTTAGCCACTTGGTAGGAGAAACCTTCTTGGAGGGATGCCTCTTGTAACAAAGTCAAACGAAAAAGGGGCAAAAGTGCACAAATTAGGATACAATGTAAAAGAAATAGTGAGAGCCTAGTAAGACTACTAGTGAGTCCTTATGCACATCCAATCATTTTCAAAGTGCTAGGCTCACTTGTCCATATGTGCGCGAGTGGTTGTGAGCGGTTAATGCATGTGAGTTCTGAAATGTATGCATCAACAGTTCAAGTCACATGCATGTCTGTTATACATCAATAACTCCCAATCACTTGTAGGTACCATTTCGCTACTCTAATAAAGTGGATAGGTTCGTAGTCATTACAATCAAAACTCAAGGACCACAACTTTTGAGAATCTTTTTATTCATCACCCTCAAATAATGGTGATACTTACCATCTTATTTATCACCGTTGAATGAGTTAAAATTTCAAAATCTGTATAGATCTCAAAATTTAAACTCATCAAACGATTAAAAATAGGGTGGTACCACCACTTGAGGATGGCAAACAAAAACTCCTCCACAACTTTTAGGTGTGGGGTTAGTGGTTACAGATACAAAAACTTTGTGAAAAATATTGATTAGAGTACTATCCTTGTCATGATAACACATCATACATATGGTTGAAGTTCATGTGGAATGAAATCATAGAAAGACAGACACCGTAGAATACCAAAAAACACAAAGGCAGGTGGTACACATATATTATTCATTTCCCTACCCCACCATCAAACACCCAATTTAACCTTTACTTTTAGCCTTGGCACAAATGGAAAGGTTGTTCATTTGTGACCGAAAAGTCACGGATTCGAGTCGTAAAAACAACCTCTTTATAAAGTAAAAACAAAACTGCATAAGATAAATGTCTCCCCCCGCGACCCTCACAAAACGGGAAGCCTCATTGACTTGGGGTTGCTCTTTCTTTTACCAAGCATGTGCAAAAACTTGAAGGTTAGTTGGATTGAAAAATGATGTATATACTTCTGCATAAATTCCATATCTAATCATTACTAATATATTATCATGACCAGTTTTTCACTTTCCCGTGTCAACTTGCTCAATTATTGGCGGAATACAAAGAAAATGTTTCCATTTGTCCTCATAAAACTAAAGTCACCAAAACATACAAAGGAGGGCCACAAACAAGAAATACCTACCAAAATTAATTTCATATCATGTCAATTCATATACTTAGATACGTAATTTTTCTCGAGTACTTACATTCATTCAGTGTCGACACGTTTGATTGTTGAATTCGGTCTACCTGCTCAAACTAAGTGGCCGAGGAACATCCAAATACATATCGACACTAAATGTTTACAGGTACTCAAGAAAAATGGCGGACATAGGGCTTCAAAATTCAAAAACAATCAAGAAAAAAAAAAAGAGGAAGAGGAGAGATGATATAAAGGAAGAAAGCTAATTATGGAGGAGCATTGAAAGTGTGAAGATTCTTGTAGAAAAGAGTGTTGTCCTATACTAATCATCATATCTACTTTCCCTTTAACAACATGAGTGGAGAGTGAACAATAAATCCATCCTCCTATACAAGTCTAAATAAAGGCTTAGGCTTGCCCTTTCTCTTCTAGTTGGTGAGTAGTCAGTATTTTGCCTCCCCCTGCCGACAGGACCCCCTATGCCTTAACCAAATTCAGTAGCAAATGAAATCAAGGGTAGAAAGAAAAAGTAACAAATTCTTACTCCACCACTAACTACACTTAACTCAAAAGTGAAAACTTTGAACTTCGGCAGAGCTGTTTGACTAGGAAACTCTCACACCGGATGGGAACAAAATACAAGAGGTTTCATGCTTTTGCGAATGACATAGTGGGGGAGCTCTATCCAAATTTTATTTTTTCATCCACAAACCCACTTGGTATTTTTTTTCAGTCTACTGCTCAGTCAAGTTACTATATTGGGTTTCTATGGCAAGAGGATGTTATGATTGGTATGGTTTATTGAAAACTCAACTGAGTATGATTTGAAGGTGCACCAGAAAGTGTAATAATTCTCCAAAATTTGGAAGTGCTGTTATAAGATACTAAAACAATGGCCAACTCAACGAGTGACTTCGGGGTTGGTTTGGTATTGCTGTGTTTTGAAAAAAAACTGATGTGAGAATCAGCGGCTGTGAAATAAATCAGCAGAGTGTTTGGTAAATTTTTTTGTAAAGGTGCTTTTGAAAAAAAAAAACAGTCTAATAGTGGGTCTTTTCATTAAAGAAGCACTGTAGCTCCGTGTGCTTTGAAAAAAAACCAGTTTTCCAAAGCTGCAAATAGCAGCTTCAGCTTATTCTCATAGTAGCTTCCAAAATAAGCCTTTTTTTTCAGTTTACCAAATACGTAAAACCCTCACAGCTTTTTTTCATGGGTGCTTTTTTTTTAAGCACCTCACTCCCAAACTAGGTCTTCATATGCCACTTTGTCCTCTGTTTTTTTTTTTTTGGTCCCATTTTTCATATTGTATCGTTCTTGCACATTATTTAGGGAAAAAAATCAGAATTAAATTTGAATGTATCACCTGCTACGGCCACGAACTGAGTTTCCTGAATCCGATTTTCAGAACTCTGCAAAAAACATAGTATGTGTATATATATAGTGAATACCACATAAGTATTCTCCCATCTTAAGGCAATTGCCACAAGGCTAAGGTCTTTCTCGCAAGTTGAACCACTGATGAAATCCGTTTACTTGTGAAGCACATAACCCGTTTCAGTTCTCAGCCTGCACAAAGAAAGGTGTGGCACTTAGGTTAACAGCTTCAGACACTCATGAAATTTTCAAAAAGTTGGGATTTTAGGTGGAGCCAATGTTGAAAGGGGCTTGGAGATTAAGTATGTGAATAACAAGTAAAAGAATCACCAACCTACTTATGCTCAATATTACTAGCCAAATTACATGCAGATTCAGTTCAAGTTCGTTGCAATATCCCTTTCAGTCATATTATGCACATCCCCTCCTTGCTTCCATTTTGCTCAAGACTTTTTAGCAATCATGGAAGGCCTATCTGATAACTGTGCGGATTGCAAATTTTCATCCTCCAAAAACAAAGTTCGAAAGGGCCCAGTTGGAGACTAAAAATGTCACAAGACATGGAATGTTTAAAGCACAAGTTACCAAAGATGATTAGAAATAATCTTAAGCTAAAATTTAAAACAATAAACACACAAATAGAGGGAGAAAAAAGATAGAGAGACAGACATACAACAGGGAGAGATAAGAGAGAGAGGAATGATGAGATATAAGGCCCCTTGTACCTTCCTTTTCGTTGACCATGACAACTAAAGCACTGAAATGGACTTCCACTTCCCATGGTGGGGCTCTTCAATTTCAGAAACTGATATACCAGCAGAGCAAATATGCCTAGTTCAATCAGTGTGAAGTGTGTCTTTGGCTACAAAGATTCGCTCTTGTGTTCTTACGAGGTTTGACCCATGTGATGACTCAAGCCCGGTTTGCCATCCACCCAACCCATTCAAGAAAACCCTATCCTGCAGCAGAAAGGAAGTGTCAAACATTTCAAACAAATGCCATTCGTGTCCTTCGGTGATTTCATTTCTCAAGCAAATACAAGAAGTTCTACGCTTAAATTAGAACATACCATTACTCGTTCCAAACATTAAGCTTTGACAGATATTTCCATCATAGGCCCGAATAGGTGTTCTTAATTTGGTATAAACTATAATTTCCCCAAAAACAAAGAAAAAGGAGTCCTTTGTACGATAGCTATACATTTCAGGTTATAGGGAAAACACAAAGAGAATAAGTTAAATGGTTAAAAGACTGAAAACATAAACATATTGGTATTGCCACTTTCTAAGAGTCCTGCCCAAGAAATTAAATCATGACAAGATACTGAGGCCAATGCAGTGCTAATTTGTACAGGTTGTACAACATACTCAATCTTGGTCATGAGCATCAATTCTATGTATTAAGTGTGGTACATGTCTATCCGAGATCTTAGGGCACCAGAAACAGAACTGCTGCGCATCTACTTGTCTAAACAATATGTCGTTCAGCATGGCACTTCATTTTGTGTTCAAGCACACTTAGCATAGAAGCCAATATTGAGAGTGTGACTGCATATCCAACAGATATACAATCCCTACACATATCTTGTCCAATAAGAAGTGGCACAGTGTCTTCCTATTGACTATTTCATTAGAAGTACAGAAAACTAGCAGTGGTACGCATGTAAGTGTCCTGGCGGGCACTTCAACCAGAGCGGTTACACTTTGGGGAATGAAAAATAGCGTAAACAAAAATTATAAGTTGAACAATAGAGGAACAGAAAAGGTTAGTTGTAATGAGCCATCAAGTGGCCAAATTGGTTTGGTATTCATCTTTCATTGATTCAGAACGTCATTCCTCATGGTCACCCTAATCCATATTACTACTGCAACATATAGGCATCACTTCAATAATAGAGCTCCTATTTTGATGTTTTACTATACTTCTTTCCTCTTCCGAGACAATCTAACATTTTTATATGTCCATTCACTGTCCAATTTGGTTTCATGTCATTATGTTGGGCATCTTGCATATTTATTTGAACACTAATACCACTATAAGCATCATTAAAAGGTCGTACCCAGTGCACAAGGCTCCCGCTTTACGCAGGGTCTGGGAGAGGTGAATGTCGGCTAGCCTTACCCCCATTTATGGAGAGGCTGCTCCCAAGTCTCGAACCCGAGACCTACCGCTCATGGGCGAAGGCACTTGCCATCGCACCAAGTGCGACCTCTACTATAAGCATCATTAATGCATAAAAATAGTCCCGAAGAATAAAAAACCAAAATTTTCACACCAGCCATACATGACCATCCAATTCTTTATATTTTACGTCATGAGCTAAACTAGATGCAGTAAATGGAAGATGTTACATAGGAGGACTTATCCAAATCAAACATCTAATACTCAAGAAGAAAACAACAATCAATAACTGATATCAACAATGGAAATATGATGAAGCGCATTTTTTTTTTAAGACAATGAAGAGAAACTGGACTTTGGAGGACACCGTATTAAACATAGAGAAACATACATCTCAAACTTCTCTTGAAAAATGTTACAATTTTATATGCAATCCCTGGACCACTTTTATGATTATAAAGATCAAAGGGCCTCTTGTTTACAAAGTACAAACCGAAGAAACCCACAATCATGTTTTGGCAAGAGATTGACTATTTCATTAGAATCATGAAGATATGCCAGTTTCAATAATACAATGTTCAAAATTCCTTCACATTAACCTTCCCTTCGAGCAATAACACTGAAATCTTTTACCTAGATGTGAAGTATATAGAAGAAAAAATAAAAAGAGAGGAAAGAATTCAATAAATCCTAGAGTTACAGAATCCTAGAGGAGTCAAAAAGAAAAACATTACACTGTGGGTGCATCGGAAAAGACCTCAGTCAGCATGTCATCCTCAACGTCTGCAGTCCCAAACAGCTCTGCTTCCTTTTCTTCCTCACTAGAAAGATCCCTTCTCTCAATTTTGGCATGAGCTGCAATAAATATCATCTTCTGTGCCTTTTCCAGGCCTACCCTTGAGTGCCTATGTACACGAATCCATCTCATGAAAGACCAATTGCACTTAAATCCACACGAGGTTGCATGGAGGAAGATAAGTCTCACTGCAACCCTCCCCAATGTCTTTAACTCACTTAGACAAGTTTCCCACACAAGTCTGCTGCTCTGTGGGTTAGCCATTTTCATCTTTCCAGTTACAGGATCTCGCTGTTTAACCTGCACTGCCTGAGCGTAAAGTGGGTCCATTCCTTCCGTTCTCCATTTCATGAGCTCCATCAATGCAACATGAGCTTCTTCTCTGGAAACCAACCTGGTAATGAGCTTATCTACATCCTTCTCCTGCTCATGTGTCAAGCACTTGAATGGTGGAAGGTACTTTCCACTAGTGTCCCTCATCAAGTATATCGGGTCAAGGATAAATGCAGCCGACCATGCTGGGTGGTAGTTCTTTCTGAATCGTTTTTCAACTATTTCCTCAACAGGTCCTTCAACAATGTTGAACTTGGCACACCAATCCTTTACTTTTGTTCTCAATTCTTCCCAAAGGGGTAGACATTGCCCGATTAATGGCCTCTCAGCCTCAATCTCCTGAGTCATCCCTCTGATCATCTTAACAAGTGAATAAACTGCCTCCAATTCATTCCAAAATCCTTCAGTTTGAATCATCCCTGCAACTTCCCTAGCAATTGGATCCTCCAGACATATCGCCTTATAAAAATCAACCAAGACAACCATTTGGAGTATGCGGGCACAGCTCAATATATCCTCCAGCATTGCGTAGATAGGTGCAAAGTTCTTTGAAGTATCACATTTGGGCGAAGGAACTTGGAGCAACCCAGCATACTCAAGCTCTTGTATCTTGCACTTCTCGAAAGCATGCCTAACCTCAGAGTTGCTATTTACAAAATTCGCAACCTTTAAGCAATTTTCAATGACAACCCTAAACAGTGGAAGCTCTTTGTTAAAATCCTTAATCAAAGACATGAACCCCTGAAGCTGACAGGAGACATTCACCATCCAATGGTTCTGAGTCTCCAAGTTCCTCAATGCCTTGGCCTTATATTTGTCTGCAACGATCCCCACACAACGCTGCACAGCATTCCCACATATTCCAGTAACTGAATCCCACAACACCTCCTCCGCATATTTCGAAGAAACTGACCCGCCAGTAAACACCACCTTCTGGAAAACACTAATCCCATTTGGAAGATTAACTGTGAACTTAACAACATTCTCTTCCCCACAAGAATCCCCGCTCTTCCACCCATCAGAAGCAACTTGGAAAAACATTGCATCTCTAATCCTAGCTTCAGACTCAGCTTTCACCTCATCAAACTTAGCATCAAGTCGAGCACCAGAAAGCTCACGCTGCAGCAATGCAGGCAAGCCCACCTGGCTAAGGAAAGCCCTGAACTTGGGATGCTCGAGGCTCGAAAATGAGACTGACCCACATGACTCATAGAACCACTCAGACAGTAGTTGAAGTGCAGAATCAATCTGCTCCTTACTAAGAGTGGCACCAGGTGAAGCTTTGGGACTCTTAAGTTTCTTCACACTATTTTCTAACATTGCCAAAGCACCCAAATCCTCCTTCCCACCAGATAACACCAAATGGTGCTGATCCAGCCCCATGCTTCTCGCAATCCCAACAGGGTTTGGAGACTGTGAGAAATTATGGTCACCGCCGAAGCGGGAAGACTCGATCATAGCTAAAGAGTGAACCTGTATCGGACTAGGACTAATGTGCGGAGGAGCTTGAGAAATAGGAGAAGGACTAGTACCCATTTGAGAGCTCCGCTTTCTGTGATTGTGAGACGACGGAGAAGGCAAGGAAGAAATCGGAACCGGAGATGCCGCCGCCGATGAATTGGGCCGCAAAACAGAGGTGAAATTCGGGCAGGTACCCCGTTTGAGATGCTCTGAGGCGGTTCTGGAGGGGTTGGAGGCGGAGAAGACGGCGTCGCAGAGTGAGCACTTGAGCTTGACGGCCTTGGGGATGTTGGAGTTGGGGATGCGAACGAGAACGGGCTCCAAGTGAGCCCAGTACCAAGCTCCTTTCCCCTTGATGGCCTTTGTTCGAACAGTTACCAGGCTTTCGAATCGCCGGTTGAGGGCCCTGGCGGCTATGTCGTCCGGCGAGAGAGATGGTTCTGTTGGGGTTGAGTTTGTGGACGCCATTGAAGCAAACGAGTCGAAATTGGAGAGTGTGAGTGACTCAGTGAGTGAGTGAAATGATGGGTTTTCAGTGAAAGAACCAAGCTTTTAGGTGAGATTGGTCCCTCACGGTGGTGGGTTCGGGGCATTTAGCCGGAAAGTGAAGGAGATGGCAAACTGGGTTTTGGGTTCGGGTTCGGATTCAAGCAGAGGTCCGTTTCCATGGCGATCTCGGCGAGTGAAAGAGTAGGAAAAGATGGGAGCTTGAAGCTTTTGAAGTGGGCTTTAATGGTGGAAGGTTTGTGAAATTCTCAAAGATTCAGCTGCAAAACTGCTCAACTGCACCTTCATCACACAACAGAAATGAAGGAGTAACGGAGACATTCATATAGTGCAGACTCTGCAGACTCTAGAGAGAGAAAAAAATAGAGAGGAGAGAGAGAATTTTATTCGACATGTTAAAAATACAAAGTTTTTTTACTATTTATTCTTCTGACAAACAAATTTTTTTCTTTCTTTTTTATTGTTTTTTCTTTCCATTTTTTTCCTGTTTGTGAGAATTTTTGTCCAAGACTTGCAAGTTTTATATGGTTCTACTGTTTTGTCAATGTCTAAAAGTGCTTGAAATTTCGTAGTGTTTTCTTTGATTTGGAATTTCAAATATTTACTCTCTATGCTTCTTGATTTGAGATTTTCTTGACCTTAAAATGACTTTTGTTTTGTATTAAAGTGATATCTTGTTGATTTATGATTCGTTTGGAAATACTTTGAAATGGTTAAAGCATTTTGTATGAAAATATTTTTGGTATTAATCTTTAAATCTTAAAAAAAAAAATTTGAAGTGCTTGTTACAAAAAACACATAACTAGTGTTTCTTACAGAAAAGAAATCACTTTAAGTGATTTGGAATTCAAAAATATTTTTCTTGACCTTAAAATGACTTTTGTTTTGTATTAAAGTGATATCTTGTTGATTTATGATTCGTTTGGAAATACTTTGAAATGGTTAAAGCATTTTGTATGAAAATTTTTTGGTATTAATCTTTAAATCTTAAAAAAAAAAATTTGAAGTGCTTGTTACAAAAAACACATAACTAGTGTTTCTTACAGAAAAGAAATCACTTTAAGTGATTTGGAATTCAAAAATATTTTTCTTAAAAGCGCTTTCAATTATTTTAAATGAATTTCAAAATGAGCTTAGTATTTTGTATGTTTTTATTTTGAATTAATATATATAAAGACCATAACCTATATCCTTAAGTTTTTCATTAAATTAGGCATTTGTTTCTCTCTCCAAATTAGCATAAAAAGAAATAAATTTTAGAGAAATGTAGCAAATGCAATATGATTATCTATTAACCATGCATGTATAAGTTTAAAAGTTGGAACCAGTTATTTGATTTTATGATGTGATCATCATGCTTGAAAGTTTGGTGGAGTGGTTACAAGTGTGACCCATAAACACTACTTTATGTTTAATTATTATTATGGAATTAATTTTATTATAAAAAAGAATAAATTGCAGTAAAATTACCAAAAAAAATCAAAGGAGAAGTTCATGAACATAAAAACATTTGTTTATTATGATATTTAAAAAAGTGGTAATGATTTTATACAAAGATGAACATATATATATGTGTGTGTGTGTGTGTGAGACTGCATTAGGTATATGTGGATGTGAAAAGTCAAAAAAGTATCCTTAATTATTTGAGTAAGAGGAGATGGCATCTTCACCTAAAGCATATGGGTGCTATGATCTATCCAACCTAAAGCTTTCTTCACATCACATAATTTTAGATCTAAGGTCCATTTCAAATTTTCAAAATAGAAGGTTGGGGAATGTATCAGAGACACGGGTGAGTACGTTCAGTGTCATAATATAAGTGACATAATTTTTCAGGTATAAAACTTTTTGTATTATGACACTTAGTGTACTTAGCCGTGTTTCTAGCACACTGAAAAATCTCTTCACATCTTACACATTGAACTGTGAGATTTTGGACTAAGCCATGAGCTATTCATAATAACTAGTTTTCGAACTAGCTAAATGAGTTAATTATGTTACCTCTCATTTACATGTAAAAATAAATGTCATTAGGCAATAACTTTAATTTAAATCTTTCAATTTTTTTGAGCCTAGACAATTACAAAAGTCGCCTACAAAATTTCTTCCAAACTTATTAGGCTAGATAAATTGTAAGAATAAATGCTAGTTTTGTAATATGAATATATGGATAAGCCAATCGGTTAAGATAGTGTGCTTGTCTTCTTACACAAGAGCTTAATTTCTCTCTCGTCATAACATAATATTTTAGAATATCACATCATCAAAAGAAAAAAACAATCTTGTTCTGTAGCATCATTTTCACATTATTTAGCTAATATAATTTATCTTCCCAAGTGCTGAATGATAATTAGGACTTTATCTTAAACTTACTCTATCTCAAGTTCAAACCCTTCATCTTTCCCTTCGATTGACGTAGTTTATAATAATTTGTCCACCAAATTGTACTCTTATCACCAGCCCAAAAAAAAATCACCGGCCCAAAAAAGTGTGCAAATGGGCTCAGAGGGAGCCCACTTACAAAGCCTGCACATTTCATCAATTTTAGCGTGCTGGGCCCATTTCTCAATCCATTACATTTCCCTTTATTTTATTAGGTAAATTACAAAAAACTACATCAACTATTAAGTCATTAACAGTTTCATATCTCGTCTTTAAAAAGTTTCAATATCATACCTTATCTTAGAATTTGTTGCAATGTCATACCTTCCGTCAGTTGACTGTTAGTTTCTCAGTTAAATGCTGACGTGGCATGAGGCGAGGCCCACTTTTTATTAAAAAATTTATTAAAAGCTTAAAAAAAACATTTATTTATTTTTAAATATTAAAATAATAATTAATAAAACAAACAAACAAACAAACCATCAGTTCGTCTACCCCTTCCCCATCCTCTTATTCTCTTCTTCCCCATCGTCATCTTCTTCCCTTGACCCCCTACCTGCAACCCAATTCATCATCCCCCCGCACCTGCACCCACCCTCCCTCCACACCCACCCTCGCACGCTCACCCACCCTCTTCCCTCCTATACACACCCCACTCCTTAAATCCACACCCATTCCTCCCATTTTCTCCACGCCCAGGTTCTCCATCCAAGGAATCGACTTGGCGAATGTGGTTTCCTGATTCCACCTTACGAACCCGGCGATGGCGTTAGACGGGATCTGGGTTTTTTTTTTTTTGGGTTGCAGGTAGGGGTCGGGGGAAGAAGATGAAGATGGGGGAGAAGAGAGGAGGAGGAGGAAGAGGAGGGGAAGACAAACTAATGGTTTTTTTTTTCTTTCTGGGTTGCAGGTGGGGGAGTCGGGGGAAGAAGATGAAGATGGGGGAGAAGAGAAGAAGGGGGGAGGGGTAGACGACTGATGGTTTTTTTTAATTAATTATTATCTTAATATTAAAAAAATATGAAATGATTTTTTTTAAGTTTTTAATAATTTTTTAATAAAAAGTAGGCCTCGCCTCATGCCACGTCAGCATTTTACTGAGGAATTGACAGTCAACTAATGGAAAATATGACATTGCAACAAATTCAAAGATAAGGTATGACATCGAAACTTTTAAAGATGAGGTATGAAACCGTTAGTTAGTAATAGTTGAAGTAATTTTTTGTAATTTGCCCTATTTTATTTTTTCATCAAATCAAACCAAACACCAAAAAGAAGAAAAAGACAAAAGCTTTCGGTTGCGTTGAGGTTTAAAATGTTAATTTCGCGCGTGAAGCCTCCTCACGCCACGTGGATATTATAGCACCTGTTGCATACAATAACCGTGCTACAGCAGGTATTCCAAACTCGAGGAAAGAATTAGGGTTTTAAGAGCCGCGTGAGGCTTTTGCCAGGGTTTTAGAAAGAGCTCGGAGCCTCGGAGCGTCGGAGCGTCGCTGTGCGAGCCAACGATACAGGAGCGATGGTATTCTGGGGTCAGTCTTCTTTCTCATTTATAATTATTTAATTTCATTTATTTTATGCAGTAATTTTTCACAATATTTCTTGAATTCGGAAGAAAATATAGCGAAAATTCTACGATTTCTCAGAAAACCGAAAGGTTTGATAAATTATTTATTTATTTTTGGTTGAATGTTAAATTGTAGGAGTTGAAATAAAACCAGGCGGATCGTTTGGGTATCAGTCGGATGAATTCGAAGGAAAGCTTCACATTACTCAGGTAATTTTCCTTTTTTTTTTTCCTGAACCTTCTGATTGCTCAGAGCACTCTGATTTTTTTAAGAAACCGTTGCGAATTGGGTGTGGTATGATGGTGAATTTTCTTGTTGACGTTGTGTTGATAAATCAGGCGACTTTAGGCCTCGGTGAATCGAAGGAGAGGTGTATAGTTCAGTGTTCCATTGGAAGTTACATTTCAGCCTTTGTGTGTTCTTTGTTACCAAATAAGAATGAATCGGTCCCCTTGGATCTTGAATTTGAGCCGGTTGATGGTTTGGTGACCTTCTCGGTGATTGGAACCCGAAGCATCCACCTCTCTGGTTACCAAGTGGATGAGAGCGAAGATGAAGGAGATGACTATAGATCGTATGTGCTAATTCATTTCACCTTTTGTGAGTTTGTTTTTGTAAGATTTTTATCTTTTCAACGGTAATTTTTATCTCTCTACAACAATTAAAGGGATTCTGTTCGGGAGAATAATGCCGAGACTGAGTCAGAGTCAGAGTCTTCAGAATACGATAATGATGATGATAATGTTGAGTTTATTGATGACGAAGATTTTGACATGTACCCGCCCTCGCCTGTTCCCAATAGTGGAGGTAAATTGGCATATTGGAAACCTATTAGACATATTTTTATGATTACTTGGAATAGATCTTTCATGAATTTCGTGACTGGTTTTTCATATTGGATCTGATATGAGACAAAGCATAAATATAGTTAAACTTTCCATGATGAAAGTTTGATTAACTTCATGATGTTAAATTTCAACTAGATCTTAATCTTCTCTATATTTTGGCGTACTCCAAAGTCCAAACCATTGTTTGGCATTATGTTATACTTAAGTATGGTTGTCTTGTTTAATGAAGTTGTGTTCCGCTGCTGGTAAATGGAGCTGTGATTTATTCATGATTGTCACTTTTTCAGCTGTGATTTATTCATTATTATGCTGCTATGTAGTGCCTGACTCGGTGTTTTCTTTGGCTTAAATCTTAGTTGTAATTGAGGAGATAGAGGACGATGACAAACCTACTAATGGAAACAGTCAGTCCAAACGACAAGTGAAAAAGAATCAATCGAATGACTCTGAAAAGAACACAAATTCTCAACATCAAATTGTTGTCAAGAAAAATGCCAGTGTCACTGTTTTGGAGAGTGAAGATGAAGATGGGTTTCCAATATCCACTAAACAGAAAACCAATATTGAGAAGCCTGAAGCAGCAACCGAACAGAAAGATAACAAAATTACTGAGAAAACCAAGAAGAAGAAAGTGAAAGATAGTGAGGCTGCTGGGTCAAAAAGGAAAGTCGAAGATGTTCACCAAGATGGTCAGCCAGAAGGGTGAGTAATTGACCATTTCAGTGGTTAGAGGTTTATCAGCTTTTAGGTTGGGTTTTTCTTTGATTCCCTTAGTCGATAATCAACAGGCATTTGACAACTTTGTTTATATTGTCTTGTTCTGTGGTGCCTGCCAAATATTCAGTTTTTGAATTTATTGAAGTGTTTCCTCAAATGATGTCAGGGAAAAGAAAAATAAGAAGAAGAAGAAATTGAAAGAGCAAGCTAAGGAGGTAAATGCTGATGACAATGAAAAGCAACCTGAGGTTTTGAAGAGCCAAGAGCATGAGCAAAAGCTATCTAATAAGGAGTGAGATCTGCTACATAATCTTTTCGTTATTTTACATAGTACATTTATGTTGTGTTTTCATTGAGCCATGAAGAGAAATTACCCCTGCCCCTCTAATGTATAGATTGTAAGATGGATTTGAATGCAACAAGCTTCAGTAATGCGGATTAGAACAAATACACGTTGGCTTTATGAATCTTTATCTGTCCAAAACTCGAGCCTTTTTTTATTTAATAATAAATTGAAATTATATCTTATATGGCCAACTTAGTATATATTTTGCTAAGAATTCCTGTCAGATTAGTAATTTGTACCCAAGCCAAGAGGTTGAATGGTTGGCACGATAAGACCTTCACTAGTGGCTTAGATTTGTTATTCACTATTCTCTCTCATACATTTGCTTTGTTGTTTTTACATTGAGTAAAATAGTATGTTCATACACAGGAGCTCTGACGTCGGAAAGAATTATATTCCTGGTGAAAATCTCACCGAGGGGAAAAAGAAGAAGAAAAAGAACAAGAAAACCCAGGAGAGTGAAATAAAACTGCACATGGATGAAACTGTTGGTAACATGGAAGATCAGAACGAACCTGCTTTGGAGCAAACCAGTGGCAAGCGATCTAAAGGGAAAACCTTTCCAAATGGATTGGTCGTCGAGGAGCTAGCTATGGGAAAACCTGATGGCAAAAAAGCTTCTTCAGGAAAAAAGGCAAGGCTTAGCCCTTCAGCATGTTTACATTTACCCTTTAAAGGATTCATGATGCTAATATTTGTTGTTTTTCAGGTCAGTGTTCGATACATTGGCAAGCTAAAGAATGGCAACATATTTGACTCCAATGTGGGAGGGCCACCTTTCAAGTTTCGCTTAGGTACGTTAATGCCATTTTACACGAATCAAGAAATAACTCAACTTCACTATGAGCGTCTCCTCATATTTTTTTCGGTTGTGCAGGTCTAGGACAAGTTATAGGAGGATGGGATGTTGGGGTTAACGGTAATTTTCTGAGATGTTCAAATCTGTCTTAAATCCGATCTACAACTTTTACTAAGCAGCTGTTGCATCTTTTAATGCGTATCTACCTTCCTCCAGGTATGCGTGTCGGGGACAAAAGAAGACTCACTATTCCACCAGAAATGGGGTATGCCATGATCATAACTGTATCTGCCCACGAAACAGGGGGACCTAAAACCAGTTGAACTGTTGTCCTTTTTTCGCATTTCCGCAAAACTTATTTATGTGTTTCCTTTGGATGCAGTTATGGAAATAAACGTGCCGGTAAAATACCACCAAACTCATGGCTTTTGTTTGATGTTGAGCTGCTCGATGTGAATTGATTCAGCTGTGGATTTGCTCCGTCCGCTTCCGACTTTTGAGTTCTTGTTCTGCTCGGAAAATAAACCGTGGGGATGCTCCGTCCGCTTCCAATTTTGACTAAAGGATGATGTTGCTTCTTTTTTCCTTCATTTCTTCGTAAGGACCTAGTTTTTGATCAAAACTTCAAATGAATACTTTTAGTGACGAATTTTCCCAATTTATTTGTACATTTTTGCACTTCACCCTCGCTTTTCATTAATCTTTCCTATTTAATAAAAATCTCTGTCGATAAAAAGAGGATGAAAATACCATTTTGATCCTATCAACAAAGCAAAAAGAAAAATAAATGTTATGGGCAATATAATTTTGCTGTTTTTTTCCTCTCCCTCACATGCGAGTAATCCCATTTGCCACCGCCATCTCTCTTCCACATTTCTACTATAAAAATAAAAAGGGAAATTTTATTTGAACTCATTTATTTTTTTACACCCAACTTACTCTCTACATCCATATTATTTTTTATTAAATAATTAAAATCTCTTTAAATCCAAATTTATTACCTAAAGTACCTTCTTAAATCCAATTCAAAATGTAAAGTTGTCTTTACACCTAATTATAAATAAAATCTCTTAATTGAATAACTTTTTTTTTTCAAAGAAGCTCGAAAATAAAACCATTACGCATCCTTTGCCCCCTCCTAGCATTTTCTATGGCTACTGTTTTTTCTGCTACAAAACCAAGATATTTGCTCTCTTTACCAAACCAAGACACAGGTTCTCTCTCTCAACCAAACCATTTACTTGGGTTGCTATCAACACCATCCATCATCGACAAAAAAAACTTATTTTTCTCTATAAGAGCTACTAGGATTTTAACTAGAATGAACGTAGGATAACAAGGAGTGATGTATGGTTTAATTATAGTAGGTGGGTATTGATAAATTTTAGTTTTATTTTTAATTCATCTTGTACTTAATAGTAATTATGCAATAGGGTAAAAATGATAATTAACATTTAAAATTTAAATTGAGTGTATAAAAATGTTACATGGGTTTAAATAAAATCCCAAATAAAAAACTAAACTCTGAATGTGTTGCTAGACAAAATGTTTTTGGATTTCAAAAAAATTTAGTGTGTTTTCTACAAAAAGTATCAGTCATGTGCTCGTAGGAAGCACTTGAAGTCTTTTTTTTAGGATTCATTTGCGTTGCATTTACTAAAAACTAGTCAATGAATCCGAAAAACGAATAATAAATATCCTAATCTGAATAAACACAGAAGCATTCCCCACATCCGAGGTCAAAACAGCTAACAAACAAGAAGGTAAAACTGGATATATAAAGGCCCAAGCCCACCAGTTTTGAGCCCAAATATTAAGCCCTTAAGCCAGATCGTAAAACCCCCTTCTTTGCGTCGACCAACACCATTGGAAAAATTAGGGTTTTATCGAGGTTTCAGAGGCCACAGCGGAAAGGTAATATTTTTCGCACTCAGCTTCCTAAATTCCAACCCTTAAAGCAATCTGATTTGAGCCCTATACTTTCATCATCCTCTTTCGATTTAGCTGTAATATTATCTGGGTTTTGAGTTCGGAGTTCTGATTTTTCCCATTTTCTGTTTGGTTGCCGAGAAAATTTGTGTAAGAAGTATCCCATTTTTGTTGTTTTCAATTTTCCTGAAATCCCAATTATATGTTTCTAGGGTTTGAATATGTTGTTCATAGGTTGTAGTGCGATAATAATATGATTTTTGAGGTTTGATGGAGTTTAGCTGGAAATAATACAATTATGTCGGTATTTGGAATGCTTCTGTGTTTATTCAGATTAGGATATGTATTATTGTTAGGAATTTGTTATTTGTTTTTCGAAATTCGTTGATCGGTTTTTGTACATTTTGCTTATTAGTATGTGGGAATTGTGTTTCTTTTTAATAGGTTTACTAAATGGGTGTGTCCAATAAAGAGTCCCGGTTGTTGAACGAGGATTTGATGGAAGAGGATGATTTCGAAGATGTTGGGTCTGGGTCAGAATCGGAGGCAGAATCCGAAGAGGAGGGTGATGTGAAATTGGAGGACCCGTCGAAGAAGGCCATATACAACAGAGATGGTATAATGGATAAACTTGGTGATATAAGCTGGCCGGAGAATGCGGGATGGGTGCACAAACTCTCTGTTGACATTGATCAAGAGCAAAAGGTGGACGTGAATGATGACTTGACTCGAGAGCTTGCCTTTTACACACAGGCTTTAGAGGGAACGAGGAAGGCCTTTGAGAAGCTTCAGTCAATGGGGCTTCCTTTTCTGAGGCCCGAGGACTACTATGCAGAGATGGTGAAGTCAGATTCCCATATGGAGAGAGTGAAGAGCCGGCTTTTGGTAGAGAAGAAGAAGATAGAGGAAGCGGATGAGAGAAGGAAAGCGAGGGAGTCCAAGAAACTATCTAAAGAGATTCAGGCTCAGAAGTTGAAAGAGAGAGCTAAGCAGAAAAAGGAGGACATAGAATCTGTGAAGAAGTGGAGGAAGCAGAGGCAGCAGAGTGGGTTTGCCGGGGGTGACAAAGGCAGCGAGTTGGATTTGGCCTTCGAGGATGCGAAACCATTCGAGAGGTCAAATAAGAAGAGGCCATTTGTGGCTCCAGGAGATCGGTCTGGAGGGAAGGCAAGACAAGGTGGGAAGCCGACGGGAAAAAAACCAAAGAAGAGGGAAATTAAGGATTCCAAGTTTGGATACGGAGGGAGGAAAGGTTCCAAGAAGCAAAATATGGCGGAAACGACTAATGATTTGAGGGGATTCAACAAAGATAGTCTCACATCAGGAAATAAGAAAAGGAAGAGGTGATAGCATCTTATGACTTTGTTTTTTGTTCTACTCTCGTGTTCCGGCAAGGGCTTGCCCGTGTAGCCTATTGATTTTTTCCCGTGATTCTGATACATGTGAACTTTTAAGTTTTGTTCTGCTTTGCTTTAGCATCTTATGTAGTAATATTTATTGCTGATGGAATGTTGTACTCATCTGATACTGGTATTCATCCGTTCTACTCGTACGAAATTTTCGCAGTATTCATGCGGTCCTAAATGGTCTGTACTTCGTATTCTATTAGCCAGATTCAGACCTGCAGGTCTGGTGATTCCTGCTCTTTGGTCCCCTCGGTAATTTTTAGTTCTCATGTTAAAAACGGAGGCAATCTCGACATTATTCTTGGTGCCCTGGGCTTTGTGGCTGCCGGGGTTGTGGGAGGGAGCTTCGGCTGACGGAGACGGACGGGAGAATGGAAAATTATCTTGTTGGTGATATGAAGTACATAATTTTATGAAGGGGGACAGTTGGAGCGTGGGTTAAGTAAGAAAATCTGGTTTTACTGCAACATTTTACAATGCTACTCTATGTCTTTTACTTAAGGTGGCGATTTTGGCGCTCTAAATTTAGCTTCTCCAATCATTTATTTATAAAAAGAGTAAATTGTAGCAATGGTTCCTCAACTTTAATCAAATTGGAGCAATGATCCCTCAACTAAAAATCCATTGCCATTGGTCTATCAACTCATCAAAATGTGTAGCTATGATCATTTTTATCAATTTCGTTAGAATTTTGTCAAAATAAATTATGTTGGAAGGACCATTGCTACAATTGAGATTCCTCAACCCATCAAAACATGTATTTATTGTCTTTTTGGTCAACTTCATCAGAATTTTGTCAAAATGAGTTATGTTGGAATGATCATTGCTACAATTGGGTTAAAATTGAGGGACCATTGATTCAATTGGGTTAAAGTTGATGGACTATTTCTCCAGTTGGATTAAAGTTAAGGGATCAATGATAATTAATTTTTAGTTGAGGGACCATAACTAAACATTTTGATGAGTTGAGGGACTAAGGATAATAAATTTTTAGTTTAGAGACAATTTCTCAAATTGAGTTAAAGTTAAATGATCATTGCTACAATTTATTCGTATAAAAAAATTCACTCGCAGTTGGACTATCGAACCTTAAACTTAGAGTGCAAAAATCTTTACCCTTTCTCGTCTATGATGTCACTTTTCGATGACGTAGAGTTCAGGAGAAAACCAAGGAAGTTCCATGTGAGGTTCTTCGGAGGTACCTGTATAAACAAAACGACCGAATACCCACAAAAAGGCAAAGTTGAGAAGTTTCATCCCAAATTTACAATTAATTTTTTTTAATGATTTGATTTAAAAATACAACATGTCATTTTCTCAATTAGCTTTCACACCACACCTAACCATATGCTCCTCCAACATGTTCTCCCACAAAAAGCTTGTCACAGACACTTCTTTCAATCCCCTCCACACCACACCACTGCTTATAAATAGCTTCATTTCCTTGTTCTAAGACCACCATAAACCCGCCTTGCCCTCGCTTGTGCTCGTCGAGAGTTATCCAGTCCAATCCAATCCTACCCGTTGTTTGACCATGTTGGATTCTACATTGGACTTGCTCACTCAGGCTGCTTCCAACTCTCTATATGTTTTCTGCTTCTGCAACTTGATCATAGTCATGATCCTCGTTGGTTCAAAACCCTGCTCTTACGTTGATCAAGAAAGTGTCTCAACGGTCACCAGCAGCTACAAAACCAGAATCTCAAATGATCATAAACAAGTTGAAGATGATAAATGCGAGCAGGAGGGTACTATGTTCAAATCACCAATTGTTTTCGGCCAAGTGGCGAATCCCGAGAAAAAGCTCGCCACTGCCGGAGAAGACAATGGCAGTGGCGATCATCACAATGAAAGCAAGGAGTGTGACAATGAAGATGAGCTGAGAAGACGAGTGGAGGAATTCATTGAAAAAGTTAACAGAGGATGGAAGGCAGAGTTGTTGATATCCTCACATTTAAATTTAATCTAAGCAGACCCTGCGTAAAGCGGGAGCTTTGTGCACTGGGTACGATTTTTTTTTTATCGGATATTTGTATTAGTTTGGTTTTAGCAGGAGAAACAGTCTCTTTGCAGAATAAGGGTAAGACTGAATATGATAGACGTTCCTCTAATGCTTATAAAGCAAGAAGCCTTGTTGAATTGGATTCATCTTTTTTATTTTTTAGTTTGGTTTTAGTGATCAAGCTTAAAATTTGTACATTTGTAACTCTAATCTGATTTATTGAGGAAACTTTAAATGCTTGTGCCACTTTTTCTCCCGACTCTTTAATCTTAGTAATGCCGATTTTAAGAATAAGTGATTGTCCATCTCCGACTTTAATTTTAATTGTTTGAAATTCATCTGCACCTACAATCGTTTTGTGAACGGAGAACAAGTTGGTAAGAAAAAGCCACTTTAGGGTTTGGATGTTTCGGATATTTAAAACACAGAAAATGCATTTGATTCTCGTCTCACATGGATAAAGAGAGGAAAAAAGTGCTTGAAAAAGTTACAAAAGGGCATGTTCGTTTGTAGCCTGCAGGATATAAGATGTTGAACTTCTTATCTTCTCTCGTATATTTCGGGCCGTCATTCAACTTTCATCACTTCCCACCTGGCAATAACATTCGCTTTATAGTCCCTTGTCTCAAAATTAAAAGTTCAAGATCGAGCATTTCCGCTAGATTTTCGTCTTTCGACGTGGGATACAAACAACAATCAAGTCTTATCATATTAAGTGGAGTCGGTTGTATAAATCTTAAAATATCATTGCATTCAGTTTTGCGTCATATCTTCCGTTAGCTCTAAGTACTTTATATATTTTCTTATAGTATATTTCAAAGTCTTTGTAGGTCTTCATCAACTACTTTTGCTCTGAAATTTCATCTCATAGTCGCATCTTCTAATCGAAGCATCTATAGGTCTTTGGTTCACGTGTCCAAACCATCTTAACTAATTTTCTCTCATCTTATTTTCGATTCCGAGCATTCCTACTTTACCTCGAATATGCTCATTCTTAATTATATCCTTTCTTATGTGCCTATACATCAATGTTTTAAAAAACTCACCTCGAGGCGCGCCTAGGGCGCCCTTGAGGCTGGGCGCCATGGCTAACGCCTCAGTTTTGTTGGAGTGGGCGAAAGGCTTCGCCGGAGCCGCCTAGGCACGCCTCAGTGAGTTTTTTTTTTCCTTTACTCCCAAACCCAAATTTTGGGTAGGATTTTAACTGCCTCATACCTCTTCCTTGTATTTTTGTCTCTATGCCTTTTTTCTGATTTTTTTATTTTTTATATAATGGATGTGTGTAGAGGTCGCACTTGGTGCGATGACAAGTGCTTTCGCCCATGAGCGGTAGGTCTCGGGCTCGAGACTTGGGAGCAGCCTCTTCATAAATGGGGGTAAGGCTAGTCGACATTTACCTCTCCCAGACCCTCCGTAAAGCGAGAGCCTTGTACACTGGGTACGACCTTTATATAATGGATGTGTGTGTTGTTCGCGTGCATTGTTATATGTGTGCTCATTGTGCTTTTCATCATCTATTTTATGCATATATAATATAATATATGTATATATATGTGTGTGTATATATATTTATAATATATGTGTGTGTTCAGGTGATTATTGATTAATAATCTTCTTATTTTTAATATAATATATGTGTATGCTCAGTGTATATATTAAAAAATTTAGGTCCCGTGAGGCCGGGCTTCCCCTCGGACGCCTCGTCCACGCCTCATGCTTTTAATACACATACATTCACCAAACCATTCTCATATTCTCTTCCCTCATTGTTTTTCAACGTGGGATACCCTTTCCAAATTATGTTGCCTCTTCTTTGCCCTCTCAGTTCCCATACACTCTTATCCTCTCTTATTTGTATGATCACGGTTAAGCTACATCAACATTTTATATTGATTTTTAAGAAAGCTGTCGATTTGAAGGCCAGGTCAATGCCATTGCCTGTCATTGTACGTGTTAGTCTCAAAGCAATTTCGAAGCAAGTTGGTAATCATACATGAATATACAACCGCTACCACCAACCTTTAAATACGATTTAATTTAGACTATTCTTATTCTTATTAGTCTCTTTCACATAATCACCCAATGTTGTATTTTGTCAACATCTTGCTAAATTTAGTCAATTTTAAGGGGTCAATTATCATTATTATTATTTTGTAAAATAGACTAACTGATAGCTTTTTTATGGCAGTTCATTTTTTGAAGTTCGAAAAGACTTATAGATGCATTTCAGCTTAAGGAGGGTCATTTAAACATAGGTAAAGTGAATAGTATCATGATTGACTTTTTAGTGCAAAAATATGATTTTTCATTAAAGTAAACAGTATCGGGAGCTTTCATTAAAGTTCCCTTTAAACATTGATATAAATGTCATAATTTAATCAAGACATGTACATGTACTTCATTTTTGCAAAAGAGAAGAGACCAATTAGGGTTTTTCTTTTACAAGGCTATATGTATTCTAAATTATTATAATAGGTAGAGAGCGGGAATGCAGACTTGGGTGCACAAGACAGACACAACGTTTTGAGTAACTGTCCTATCGCACATATAACAACTCACTCTTAGTCAAGTAATACTTTCAATATTGAAAGGACCGAATTTTCCGGCTTGTGTTGATTTAAAAATAAAAAAAAAAAGGCCAAAAGAAAATAGAAGACAACAAAGTTCCATAAATCCAGGAATGGTGATAAGGATGTGAATCATGTGATGACATAAGAGGGAAGGAAAAGGAGAGGATGAGAAGGATCCATGTGAGGTTCTTGTTTGGTACAATGGACTTTTCATTAGGCTAATGAAAAAAGAGGCCCTACAATATGGAGCAATTTTTCAATATGTCAAAAACACGATTTTGTTATGCCAAGTGTTATAATAAAAGTAGTTGGATATTTAAAAATAAAAAAAGCAATGCATTATAACATTTGGTGTAACAAACCGTGTTCCGGCACATTAAAAATTTTCTACATAATATGGTTGAGAATAAGCTTTCACATTATACAGAACATCATCTCCTTTCATCTTCTGCACATAACTAAAGCTTTCCACCCCCACCCTTCCTCCATCCATACAAGCTTGCTTTTAAATCTCTCTCTCTCACATACCTTCACAATGCTTGGTTCCACGCTAGAATTAATCACACAGGCAGCTTCCAACTCCGTGTTCATCTTCTGCATCTGCAACTTGATCATAGTCATTATCCTCGTGGGATCAAAATCCGTCTCCAACAACGATGAACGAAGCAAAAATCGTATCACAAAGGCCGCCAGCAACCGTGCGGATGATGAACAAGGCATGGAGGAGGCCAAACACGCGTGGAAGGAGAAGAATGGCTTGATGCAGGTCAGTCAATTTAGTGTACAATGAACAGAACGCATCAGCCGACGATGGTAAATTCAGCAGCACCGATGGAGACAGCGACGATGATGAAACTGACACTGACGATGAGCTGAGGACGAGAGCAGAAGAGTTTATAGAAAAGGTTAATAAGGCATGGAAGGCAGAA